GGCGGTGGCCCAGCCTGCGATCAACATTTCGGGCGATGCCAATGGCCCGTTCACGGCGGCGGCCCGCGCGGCGGTGTCGTCGGCGCCAACGAGACCTTCAATCCCTACAGCTCGCCCACGGCCTTTCTGCTGGGCGCCTATATCTTCGAGGATGTCGGCGTGACCGCCTATAAGGGCGCCTCGCCGCTGATCAGCAACAAGACCTTCCTGCAGGCGGCGGCCGGCATTCCTGGCGGTCGAGGCCCTATCATGCCGCGATCGTGCGCACGACGCTCTATGCGCGGGGCTATGATGCGACGACATTTATGGCGTCGTTGATCACCGCCGCCGGCCAGATTTCGGACGCGCGCGACAGTCTGGACGGCTCGACCGATCTTGACCGGGGATCGCCCGCACCACGATCAACAGCCAGTTGGTGTCAACATCGTGCCGCTCGACCAGAACGGGATCGCGTTCAGCCGATCGCCGCAACAGGTGCTGAACATCGTCTATCTGAACCGCGCGACGGCCACGCTGGGTGGGTTCTTCCCCGCCGGCGTGAACGGCACCTTGCGCGCCAGCGCGGCGAACTGATCCCCTTTTTTCCTCGTTGCGAGAGGATTTTTCACCATGAGCGAAGAACGCTTCATTCTCGATGTGATCGAAGAGGCATCGGCCAAGCGCCGGGCCGACCGTCGCCGTTTCATGCGCATGGCCGCCGGGGCTGGCGCCGTGGGCGGTCTGGCGATGCTGGGTGCGTGCAACAATGACGACGAAGTGATCGTCATCCCACGCCGACGCCCACCCCCTCGCCGACCGGATCGGTGACCGACGCCGATGTGTTGAACTTCGCGCTCCAGCTCGAATATCTGGAAGCGCAATTCTACAGCTATGCCGCCTTCGGTACCGGCCTGTCCTCGTCGCTGCTCGGCGGCACGGGCAAGGATCGGTCGCGATCAACACCAGCGCGACCAATGGCGCCGGTCAGCCGCGCCGCGGTCAGTTCGAGGACCCGATCGTCGCGCAATATGCGCGCGAAATCGCCTATGACGAGATCGCGCACGTCACCTTCCTGCGCAATGCGCTGGGCAGTGCGGCGGTGGCGCAGCCGGCGATCAACCTGTCAGGCGATGCCAATGGCGCCTTCACGGCGGCGGCGCGTGCGGCAGGTGGATCGGTGCGAACGCGACCTTCGATCCCTATTCGTCGGACGAGTTCTTCCTGCTCGGCGCCTATCTGTTCGAGGATGTTGGCGTCACCGCCTATATGGGCGGCGTCGCCCTGCTGTCGAACAAGACGTTCATCGAAGCGGCAGCCGGCATCCACGCGGCGGAGGCCTATCATGCCGGCCTCGTCCGCACGACGCTCTACCGCAGGGGGTGACCACCGCGTCGCTGATCACCGCCGCCGGGCAAATCTCGGACGCGCGTGACAGCACGGACGCTCGACCGATCTCGATCAGGGGCATCGTCGCGACCGTCAATGGACAGCAGGTGGCCAATATCGTGCCGGCCAAACCCAACGCGATCGCCCTTTGCGCGCACGCCGGGTCAGGTGCTCAACATCGTCTATCTCAACAGGGCGTCGGTCACCGGCGGCGGCTTCTTCCGGCGGCCTGAACGGGGCGGTCTGGTCGAGCGCCGCCAGCGGCTAAAAGAACAGCATAGCCTTCACTACGGGCCTTGCCCCGATCGGTCTCTTCCCTTTTTGCCGATCAGGGGCCTTTTTGCCCCCTCGCTCTGTCCCGGTTTGGGGGCATGTGATGGGGATCGTGACGAAACCCCTTCTTTGGTCCGTCCATTTCGCCCTATGAGTGGCCCATCCCGGGGAGCGCCGACCCGCGCTTGAGAGGGCAGGGCCCCGACCCGCTGAACCTGATCCGGCTGACACCGGCGTAGGAGGGCAGCCCCGTCTCTCATGGTCCGTTTCCTCCGCATGGAGTGGACGACTATGGCAGATATTCCCGCAAAGGCCGAGATCGGCGTGACGACCGGCCCCATTCGTGGCTCGAAGAAGATTCATGTCGGCCCGTTGGATGTCGCGATGCGCGAAATCCATCTCGACCCCTCCTCGGGAGAACCGCCGCTGCGTGTGTACGACACGAGCGGCCCCTACACCGATCCCAGCGCCCGCATCGACATCATGGCCGGCCTGCCCCAGCGCCGCCGCGCACGGATCGAGGGGCGCGGCGATGTCGAGGCCTATGACGGTCGCGAGATCCGCCCCGAGGACAATGGCCAGCTCGGCCCTGACCGTTCGGGCGGCGTGCCGCAATTCCCGCGCACCGGACTGAACCGCCCGCTGCGGGCCAAGCCCGGCATGAACGTCAGCCAGATGCATTATGCACGGCGCGGCATCATCACGCCCGAAATGGAATATGTCGCGACCCGCGGGAATCTCGGCCGCGAGATGCTGAAAGAATATGTCCGCGACGGCGAGAGCTTCGGCGCGAGCATCCCCGATTACGTCACGCCCGAATTCGTCCGCGACGAAGTGGCGCGGCCGGGCGATCATCCCCAACAACATCAACCACCCCGAATCCGAGCCGATGGCGATCGGCCGCAACTTCTGGTCAAGATCAACGCCAATATCGGTAATTCGGCGGTCGCCTCCAATGTCGCGTCCGAAGTCGACAAGCTGGTCTGGTCGATCCGCTGGGGGCGCGGACACGGTCATGGACCTGTCGACGGGGCGCAACATCCACGACACGCGCGAATGGATCATCCGCAACTCGCCCGTGCCGATCGGCACGGTGCCCATCTATCAGGCGCTGGAAAGGTCGGCGGCATCGCCGAGGAGCTGACACGGGAGATCTTCCGCGACACGCTGATCGAACAGGCCGAGCAGGGCGTCGACTATTTCACCATCCATGCGGGCGTGCGCCTGCCGTACATTCCGCTGACCGCCAAGCGCGTGACCGGCATCGTGTCGCGTGGCGGCTCGATCATGGCCAAATGGTGCACGGCGCATCACAAAGGTCGTTCCTCTACGAACGCTTCGACGAGATCACCGAGATCGCGAAGGCCTATGACATCGCCTATTCGCTGGGCGACGGCCTGCCCCGGCGCGATCGCCGACGCCAATGACGAGCGCAGTTCGCCGAGCTCTACACGCTGGGCGAGCTGACCAAGCGCGCACGGGGAACAGGACGTGCAGGTCATGATCGAGGGACCCGGCCATGTGCCGATGCACAAGATCAGCAGAATATGGACAAGCAGCTGGAGGCGTGCGGCGAGGCGCCTTCTACACGCTCGGGCCGCTGACTACCGACATCGCGCCGGGCTACGACCATATCACCAGCGGCATCGGCGCGGCGATGATCGGTTGGTACGGCACGGCGATGCTCTGCTACGTCACGCCCAAGGAGCATCTGGGCCTGCCCGACCGCGACGACGTGAAGGTCGGCGTGGTGACCTACAAACTCGCCGCCCACGCCGCCGATCTCGCCAAGGGCATCCCGCCGCCAAGATGCGCGACGACGCGCTGAGCCGCGCGCGCTTCGAGTTCCGTTGGCGCGACCAGTTCAACCTGTCGCTCGACCCCGACACGGCGGAATCCTACCACGACCAAACCTTGCCGGCCGAGGGCGCCAAGACCGCGCATTTCTGTTCGATGTGCGGCCCGAAATTCTGCTCGATGAAGATCACGCAGGAGGTTCGGGAATTTGCGGCCAAGCAGAACGCGCCGGTCGAAACCTTCGTCGCGGCCGAGGACGCCGAGGCTGGGATGCAGCAGATGAGCGAAATTCCGCGAGAAGGGCGGGGAGGTTTACCTGCCGGCGGGTGACACGGCCGCATAAGGGGGATAGCCAGCTTCTAGCCTGTTGACATGGCGGGCGCGCATAACCCATGCGCCCGCCGATGGGTGCCATGCCAAACAAGACTGATGCGACGGGGCATGATCCTCGCGTCGTAGCGAACGCAATAATTGCGTGTGCGCAACGTATGGAGGTGCCCATCCGCAATATTTCCGTACAAAAACTGCTTTACTTCGCTCACGCGGCTTTTCTGGTTCATCATCGGCGCCCTTTGGTGAGGGGCGTCTTTGAAGCGGGGTTTGGCCCGGTATGTCGTTCGATCTATGATGCTTTGAAGCATTATGGCAGGAATGAAATTACCTCTCCGATTCAGCGCACCGATCCTTTTACGGGGATCTCATCCGCATTGCCGGAATTGGCTGACCGCTTGCCATAAGACATATTGAGCATCATGCACGTTATGGGGCGTGCCTCACCAAGTCAGTTGATAAGTTTGTCCGCACGTTCGGGGGGCATGGTCTATTGTCTGGAACAAAGCAAAAACAGGTGCTACTGTAGGTAACCAGATCGACGATGATCTGACGATCAAGACGTTCGGAAGGTTGAAGGTTGCTTTGCAGCCTTCGCAGGGGAGAACGAGGATTGGATGAAGCTTCGCCGTTTGCCGGAGACTGATTTAGCTCGAATCGCACCGCTTCCTGCGGCAATGAAGCGTCGAGCACTTCAATCTTTCAACTCTGGTGGCGGCAGCTGGTCATACGAGCCAGCACGATCCCAAAATTTCAATATCGCTAATCCCTCCAACCCGCTAGGATTAATCTCGCCGCGTCCCTCTATTGATAAGATCAAAAGAGATCGTTAGCAGGCGTTGCAGATGCGACGAGCAGGAAGAGAGCTGTCTGGAGGTTGTCGATCTTTTGATCATTGGTATCGGCAAAAATCAAGTGGCGCAGTTGAGCGTGTAGTGCCTTCGATGGCCATTGGTTCACTGGGGCTTGTGCGGTATTGGGAAAATTTTTTCTTTCAATTGAATGGAAGAAATACCTTTCTGTTTATAGATTATCGCCGGACTAATGGTTTAACGGCGCATGCCCGCAAGTTCGTTTTTTCTATGATGCATCAGCAAATTCGATTGGCTGACCCGGATTTTTGACTCAAACCTTCTCGTTCTTCGTTTTCCGCAGGGAAAGAAGAACAGTTATCAGTGAGTCATGCGTTAATGATGATGATCTATATTCATTGGCAGAGTTGTCGCAGTTGATCGATGAAACCTATTCGATATGGCGCGAAGTACTCGCTGAAAGGCACATTGTTGAACCGAAGCGAGCGGCTGGGGAATGTTCGGTTAAAGGCGAACTTACCGCTTACGCACAAACTCCGCGCGCAGCACGAGTCCCTTGATCCCGTCGAACTTGCAGTCGATTTCCTGCGCGTCGCCGGTCAGGCGGATCGACTTGATGAGCGTGCCGCGCTTCAGCGTCTGGCCCGCGCCCTTGACGGTCAGGTCCTTGATCAGCGTCACCTGATCCCCATCGCTCAGCACATTGCCGACCGGTCCCGCACCACCACCGCATCATCCTCGCCGACCGTGCCGGCCTTGGCAGGCGTCCGCCGCGCTGATCCATTCTCCGGTCGCTTCGTCATAGACATAGTCTTCGTCGGCCATCGCGCTTGCCCCTGTTCGCTGGTGGAAAAGCGGCCCTATGCGCGCTTCGCCGAAGTGATGCCAGTATGATTACAGATCAGAGCAGCGGCGGCAGCGCCCAGTCGATCGGTTTTTGGCCATGCTCGACCAGAAAGGCGTTGGCGCGCGAAAAGGGCTTGGAGCCGAAAAGCCGCCCCTCGCCGACAAGGGGAGGGATGGACCGACGTGATCACGCCGTGCCGCCCGCCGCCCATCTCGCGCACGAAGCCCGCCTTTTCTGGGCATAGGCGCCCCAGAGGATAAAGACGACCGGCTCGGGCTTGGCGGCGACGGCGCGGATGACGGCGTCGGTGAAGCGTTCCCACCCGCGCCCCTGATGCGAAGCAGCCTGCCCCATGCGCACGGTCAGCACCGAGTTGAGCAGCAGCACCCTGCCGCGCCCAATGGTCGAGCAGGCCGTGGCCAGGCAGGGCGATGCCCAGATCGTCGGCCATCTCCTTGTAGATATTGACCGGGCTGGGCGGCGGCCGGACGCCGGGCTGGACGGAGAAGGCCGCCATGCGCCTGCCCTCGCCATGATAGGGGTCCTGCCCGGGATGACGACGCGCACTGGTCGAGCGGGGTCAGGTCGAGTGCGCGGAACCATTCGGTCGGGCGGGGAAGATGCGCTGCCCGGCGGCGCGCTCCTGCGCCAGAAAAGTCTTGAGCGCCTTCATATAGGGCTCGTCAAACTCCGGGCCGTAACGGGGCCAGCCAGCTTTCGTGAAGACGAATATCGCTCATGGCCTATCTCCATGCCGTTCGCGTCATCACCGCGCAACCGCAACCGAGGATAATCGTTATGCAGCCGATACGGTCGTCATCCCGCCGACCGCGTAACCTGTCATGGAGCATGTTCATGAAGCGTACGATCATCACCGCCATTCTGGCCGCCGCCCTGCCGCTGGCGGCCTGTGGCTCGACCGAAGCCACCGGCAACACCGCGACGGCGGCGGCTCCGTCCAACACCAGCGGGATGAGCGCGCAGGACACGGGCGCCAGGTCCGCAACCTGCCTGAGGGGCAGCGGCGCGGTGTGCTGTTCCGCGCGATCCGCGATGCCGGCACGAGCGGCGCGACCTGTCGATCGGTGACCAGCATGACCGAGATCGCCCCGGTCAGCGGCAACCCGACACGGACGGCGGTGTGCGACAATGTCGCGCAGTGGACGATCGTACTGACCGCCGATGGCTCGGCCAGCGTGACGGGCCCCGGGCCGGTGAAGACCAGGGATGACGCGCACAGGGTGGATCGGCCTTGCCGGTCCACCCGGCGATGTGCCGGCCTCAGGAGGTCGCATGGCCGATCAGGCGAAGCGTCGCCGGATCGCCCTGCCCGTCGAAGAATCGGTCGAGCCCCGCACGGAACGGCGCAGGGTCCTCGGCCACCGCCGCGAACAGCGTCAGCGAGGAACGCAGCTTCATCGCATCGACCGGACCGAACACCGCCTCGGCCGATCCCGACGCGGCGCAGGCGGTGCGCACCGCCTCGTGCAGACGGGGCCCGAGCAGCGGATGCGCCAGATAGGCGCGGGCTTCCACGACATCGGCGATCGCATAGTAGCGCGCGGTCTCGCTGCGCCCCAGCCCGGCGATCTGGGGAAAGACATACCACATCCAATGGCTGCGCTTTCGCCCGTCGCGCAACTCGGCCAGAGCGGTGGCAAGGTCTTGCGCACGGGCTTCGACGAAGCGCGTCAGCAGATCGGGGAGGGATGGGGCATATCCCGGCAACCGCCGGCAAAAGCCATGCGTTCCTTCGCCCCAGAATTGCGTCAGAACGATATGATCCTCAGGAGAGTGTGATGCGCCGTTTCGCTTGTCTGCCCCCCCTTGGCCCTGCTGGTACTGGCCGCCTGCGGCTCCGGGACGGGGATACCGATTCGGATGTCGCGCCGGGCAATTTCACCCCGCCGGGAACCGCGCGCCCGACGCCGCTGGCGGGGTGGCGCAGGTGACGCCGCTCAAAGGCCTATATCGGCCAATATCCCAATGATGCGGTCGATGGGTCACCTTCTTCGACCGGACCGAGGTGGCGGGTGCGCTGCACGATGCGGTGGGCGATCAGAAACTGGTGCAGCGGATCATATCACGTGGCGCGGTGACAGTGCCGATCTTCGCCATGGGGCCACGGGGCTGGCCGCGCATGGCTGCACCCGCATGACTGCGCCGACAACAATTGGACGATGCAGATGGATATGAAGACCGGCAAGGCGCAGGTCTGCTATCATGATCGCGATACGATGGGCGACCGAAGCCAATGGTATATGGGCGGCGCGCCCGTCACCCGCTGGGAATGCCCGCAGGAATAAGGTTGTCCGGGCCCGCCCATGGGCTGGCCCGGACGAGATCATCAGAAGGTATAGGCGACGCCCAGCGCAGCCACTGGCTGCGCGAACCCGCCTGCGACACGATCCGGGCTGTCGCCGAAATCGTTGAGCATGCGGCTATAGGCGACGCTGCCGACCAGCTTCCAACCCTGAAGGAGATTGCCGGTCAGCGAATAGGGTGCCCAGGCGCACCGGCGGTCCAGTTCTTCCACCCCGACCGCGCGTCATAGATGGGCAGGCCGCTCGCCACGCTCTGGCCCGGCGTGATCGAATAATAGCGACGGGCATAGCCCGCGCCGGCATGTTCGGCGGTCGCGAACAGGCCGGCGGCCGCAACGGTCGACAGCGGCGTGAAATAGTTGATGCTGGGCTGCCAGATGCCGCTGTCATACGCCGGTGACGTCGTGGCGATAGCTGAGCGCGACGGACAGGCGGTCATAAGGGGCTGGTGACCACGCCCACCTTGCCGATGCCGACATAGCCGCCCAGTTCGACCGCCGCGCCGATCTTGCCCAGCGCGCGGACGCGGGATCATCAATGCGCGACGGCGCGGTACGGTCAGATTGACGACGCCGACCGGCCCGGCCTGAAAATCCCAACCCGGATTGCTCCGGTCGCCGATCAGGTCGACCGACAGGCGATGCCGATCCGGTGATCGTATGCCCATCAATATAGGCCAAGCCGGCGGGTGCGGGCGTGAACTGATAATCGTTCGACCCTGATAATCGGGCAGATAGGCCGCGCCCAAGCCGAGCGTGATGGTATTCTTGCCCATCTGAGCGCCAACAGCGGCGGCATCGGAAGCATCGGCCGCGGGAGGTCCTGCGCATGGGCGGGCAGGGACAGGGATAGAGCCGCCGAAGCGATGAGCGGGGCGGCAACGCGCGGAAAAAAAAGGCGCAAAACGGAAAACTCCCTGAAATAGGTTATCCGAAATGCAACGCGACGGTAGCGATTTCGCTCCGGTCGGTGTGTCAGAATATGTATCGCATCCAGATCTGTTGTGTTTCGGCAGCAAGATCGAGCGCGAAGCGTGCGGCCGTAAAACGGGGCGGGCCGAAATGGATCGCCGGATTGCGGGAGAAGCCAAAGCCCTCGCGGGGAATGCCGGCCAGCGTGTCCAGCTTGGCGTTGTTGTTCTCGTCATGGATGACGGCGGCGGCGTACTGGCCATGGGGCAGGCCGTCGAGATGGATGGCGCGCTGCCCCGCCGGCACCGAGCGGGTCAGCGCGCGCGCGTCATCGACGCAGGCGGGAAAATTGTCCGGATCGGCGGTCAAGCACAGCCGGATCATGCCTTTGGCGGAGCAGGCTGGTCAATCCCGATGTCCAGCCGGCTGACCGGCGCCGCGCCGATCGGCGGCAGGCTGGCCAGCGCCAGCAGCACCGACGCGCCGCGCCGCCTGCGCATGGGCGCGCGAAATCTCCCCGGTCGGTCCGTCCCGCACAGTCGATCCCAGAAACGGAAGTAGAGTCCATAATTGCACCCATATTGCTCGTGTGATGCCGTTGATGGTGGCTCGCAGTGATGAGCCACCCCCGGTGCCCTGCCACAGGAAACGGGGAAAGATTTCCCAGCCCATGTGGTTGGTCACGCCCATAACCGTCATGATCGTCAGCACCAAGCCGAGTGCGCCGACATGGATCGGAATCACGAAGACCAGTAGCGGAATACAGCGCCGGTTACCGCTTCGATCAGGTGGAACGCCATCGCCGCCCGTGCGGTCGGCGGTCGGCTGGCGTGATGGACGGCATGCGCGCGCTTGAAGATGGCGGGCCGGTGCATCCAGCGATGCGTCCAGTAGAACCAACTATCGTGCGCGATCAGATAGAGCAGGACCGAGACGGGCAGATACCAGAGCGGATAGGCATGGACGTCGGCGTAAATCTGCGTCCAGCCGCGATTCTGCCACCCCCAAGCGACGATGCCGGCCGGCACGCCATAGATCGCGGCCGAGGCGGGGCTCCAGCCGATCTCGCGCCGGATCTGCGGATCGAGACCGGCATAGAGATCGGGATGCCGCGCCCGGGTCGCCAGCGCGAACGCGCCTGGAGGCGAGTAGATAGCGGACACCGACGATCAGCGTCATGGCGATGGCGGACAGGATCAGGGCAAGCGTCACAAAGAACAGTGTAAACCATTGGGGCGAGGGGTTGTACCATTTTTCTCGTCAGGCGAGAGGCCCGTGGCCTTTATTCGCGCGGAGGCGCGAGGCGCGGAGGCGCGGAGGCGCAGAGAGGGCGGGATGCGTCAGCGTCGGGGAACGTTCATCCTCCGCCGCTGCCGCACCGTCGGTCATGAGAAGCGGCCTGCCGGCCGGGCGCTATCACTCCGCGCCCCCGCACGAACTCTAACTCAAACCTCCGTTCAGGCTGAGCGACGTCGAAGCCCATGTCGCGCCCTCTGCCCAGATGGGATCCCGTCCACTTCGACGTCGCTCAGTGCGAACGGAGGCGGGGGCAGGGCTGGCTTATACCCGGTGGAAGATCAGGATCGGCCGCTCGTAATAAACCCCCTCCACCGGCGCGCGGTAGCCCAGCTTCTCGGCCAGCCGGATCGACGCGGCATTGCCCGGATCGATGATGCAGCAGGTCGGTCGATGCCGTTCGCATCCGCCCAGTCCAGCACCGCGCGCATCGCCTCACCCGCATAGCCACGGCCATGCGCCGCTGGAACAAAGGTCCAGCCCACCTCCGGCACCGTCAACTCCGGTATAATCGCCCGCCGCGACTCGAGCAGCCCGATATCGCCCAGCACCGCACCCGTCGCCCGGTCGCACACCACCGTGCGCCATAGCCGAACACCGTCCAGCAACCGATCGAGCGGAGCAGCCAGATCCACACCTCTTCGCGCGAATGGGGCTTGCCGCCGATCATCCCGTATACGGCGGGATCGGCCCACATCGCCGCCAGCGCGTCG